TCCTTTCCCATTCTTGTAAATATTTGAAAAAGAAACTTGATTATCTCATCCTCTAAGATCATTCAGATCATCAGTCAGTTTAGAAATTATACATACACTGAGGAGCAAAATAATTATCTCACCATTAATGCTTTACGTTTTTTGAAAAATAAAGTATATGATTTTTTATATTGATTAAAAGTTTCTGGCATCATTTTCATTAATTTGCTCATTCATGACTGATTGTGATATACTTGAGTGACTTTGTTGCATAAGCACTAAATAACCTCATTATTGTGAGAGTTAATTGGGCACAGATGATGAACTGAATTATTCTGTTCAATTTTAATCCTAGTGAAAATGACTTTTATCAAGAGACTAAAACTTTTGTTCCTTTTGTATGCAGGATGCTAGATTATCCTCAGATAGATTCAAAAGTAGTGGAGGTAAGCTCTCTTTAGTAACAAATAAAGCTTTTGTGTTGATTAACAAACATCAGTGCATGTAGCAAACATATGCAGAATGAGTAAACAGATAGCTTAACAGAAAAAAATCTTATATAAAGTTTATAAAGAGTTTTAAATGCACTTCTCCACAGATTTCAGTTCATGTTTGTGTTTCAATGCTGATTGTGAAGTAGTCCATTAAGCTGACTTGTAATGACCTTTAAGGATTTTGTATACTTGAATCAGGAGACCTCACGGCCTTGTCCTTTCAAGACATTATGGTATTCCAAACAGCTATGGTAGTATTCCACAACAGAATGAATAGAGTTCTGACTTCACAGTAATGCAGCATTGTATCATATTTTGTATCTGTTATTTTGTAGCTCACTGCAAAAAAATCCTAACAGCCCAAAGGGTTGATCTAGCAATAAAGTTGGCTTTAACTTTTTACTAAAAATGTTCATTGTAGCCTGTCAGTGTAGAATATGATTTTGAACTTTGGAATTTTAAACTGGCAAATGTGATTCGTCACAAGTTGTCAAATCCATGCTCTGCTAGCTTGTCGACACTCCAGTCCTGATGTGGTTCGAGATATCAGGGAGAGAGGGCCCAGGGATCATGTCGTAGCCTCTTGCTGACAGTGGGTTCTCTCCACTGGTATCTCAGGTTACTATTGAGTTGAACTGGGACAATGTCTGTGCACAGGGTGGTGATTGCTTGTTGAGTCACACAACATGGGAGAAAAATGTGGTTTGCTCCCGGCATAGTGACTACTGCTGAATAACATGATATTCAGGAGTTTCAACAAAAGTCCAATCAATCAGATTGAAAGGACTGAAAGGTGATCAAATGGATATACAGCAGTAGCTAGCTGGCACGAGGTTCTGGCTGCAGGCTTCCAGAATTCTGTCGTTACATACAGGCTCACTGTCTTACTCGGAGCTTCAGGAAAAAAGTTTAATTCCCAAGGATTAGACGAACATTGTGACAGTGATGTGGATCTGTTCTAAGTCAGCCAAATTGGTTCACTGGAAAGAAGCAGAGTTAAAAGTGGTGTGAAGCAGTTTTTAACTGGGAAAATATGGTTGGTAATTGTCACTGAGTCTCCATGCCCTAGAAGAACGTTTGTTCATCTTTTTGAATGATTTATCACAACCTGTGACTTTAAGACCATCATATAGATATGACTATGGCTCTGCCAGACATCCAGGCACCAGAGTCAGACATCCATTTGTTTTGTGTTCGGTGTGCTCATGATTGTTACTTGAAAATTGACTTGTTCATAACAAACTAGAATTAATTTAAAATGGTTGTTGAACTATGCTTACCCTGCACATAGAACTATTAACTTCAGTCTAATCTTTTGGAATTTTATGTTGTCACTTAAAGTGAGTAAAACATCTCAATCTTTTGCTCAATTTAATGACAATAAAGACTTGCAGATAAAAGAATTTAAGAAAATGTACAAATAAGAAGACCATTTGATATTTGATCTGAGGATTGAATCTAGTCATTTTTTTAACTATTCCAGGGTATTGGTTTCAACAACATGGGTGGGTAGCTTTATAGAGAGATAGATACTTTATTGATCCGGTGAGGGAAACTTTCCATTCTCTCACAACCAAAAAAGCAAAATAAAACAAAATATCATATCAGAATACTCAGAATTCTGATAATTATTTTGTAGAATTTATTTTTCTTTAAAGTGGAATATTCTTGAGGGAGGAGTTTTACTTGGAAAAGGAGCTCCTCAAGATAGGAGGAAGTTGGTAGCAGTATATAGTAGCCTACAAAAATCATTTTTTTAATCCATTAATCTAGAGTATATATTCTTTTATATATATATAAATATTAGTACATTTAAGTGATGATAGAGTATACAATCTCACAACTTTTGGGAGAGCTTAGGATTTGTTTAATTATTATCAACACATCAGTTGTGCTGTACATAATATTTTCAGTTGAGCACTGAATCAAAATTGGAACAGCAGGTGGCCGTTCTGTAGCCATGGCCACAGCATGTCCCTCTCTCTTTTCATTGACAATATGACACCAAGGTCATATAATATCACATTCTCAAGGACAATGAGCATCTGATATACCACTCATTTTTCCAGGTTTCAAATAACTTTCAAATACACATTCATCAAAACTTTGTCATTGTGCACCACAGATGACAAATACACTTAATACATTCTACTAAACATTTAGCAAGGAAATATTTTACAGATTTAATATAGATAATAGTTGTGTAAAAACATTCAGTCTTGGGCATCGTAATTTCAAATAATATCTTTACGTCTGGATAACTTACTGTATCTCTTTAGTAATACTTTACAGTGGCAGACCAATATATTGTGATTTTACTAAGAAAGCTGTACACTAGATCAGGGAAGACATCTGAATATATCTCAATATTAAATACTATACAGTATGTTGTTTTGATTACTTTCCTGGAATAATTGCACAGTAATTGTTTTTAAAATGTTATTATTCTCAAATTCAAGCAATACCTCAGATACATGCCTTAGCATGATTTATCTCGCAATGCACACTCCCTCTATGGATATGGATTTTCTAGTATAATAAAAAAACTGATGTCAGCACACTTATGAGATAACGTCCTTTATATCTATAAAAATTAAAGGTAAAACTCCTGAAACACATTGATGTTATCGATGTTTTTAGAAAAGCTACACACAAAAGATACATTTTATTTTTAATGGTTACTTTAAATGCTAACCGCTATTTGGACTCTAAATCAAAGTACACTCTTTATTGTTATATACTATTATATTACATACTCCATTTTTTCACAAATCTGGTCTAAGCACAAGTCTTCCTTAACTAACTAGGTCAAATCTATTGGGGGCTTTTATACTTAATGCAGTAGCATGAGTTTGCTGTGTCTGTGCCAAGTAAAGCCAGACAGCTCTAATCACAGTCCACGAGCTATATAACTGTTAATATTTAGATTAGACAAGAACATATCAACCATCTCGTCCTAGAAAGTAACTATCTCCCTAGGGCTCAGTTATCTCTACAAACTCAAGCAGTGATTTAAACATTTTTGTAAGATTGGCCTGACCTTACAACTAGTGTATCTTTCATATAACTTTGTCTTACTGCACAAAAAGCAATTACTGCTGTGATTTGTGGAACATACAAGCAGCCATATCACCCTGCAACTCACAACTGGCAACCCACTGAAGCTAAGCAGGTGTGAGCCTGGTCAGTACCTGGATGGGAGACCCCCTAGAGAAATCTAAGGTTGCTGCTGGAAGAGGTGTTAGTGGGGCCAGCAGGGGGCGCTCACCCTGCAGTCTATGTGGGTCCTAATGCCCCAGTATAGCGACGGGGACACTATACTGTAAACAGGTGCCGTCCTTCAGATAAGACGGAAAACTATCTATCTGTGGTCATTAAAAATCCCAGGGTGTTTCTCGAAAAGAGTAGGGGTGTAACCCTGGCGTCCTGACCAAATTGGCCCATACCAATCATGGCTCTATGAATTGGCTTCATTACTCTGATAGCTGATGTGTTGTGAGCATTCTTGTGCGCTATGGCTGCTGTTGCATCATCTAGGTGGATGCTGCCCGGTGGTGGAGGGGAGTCCCCATTACCTGTAAAGCGCTTTGAGTGGAGTGTCCAGAAAAGTGCTAATTATTATTATTATTATACCTATGTTGCCCTCTGTGCAGAGATAACATTCAATCTCTTTATTTCTAATTTTCTAATATGATACATAAAATATCAGAAAATATGATACTGATGGTTTTAGCATGAGTGTTAATGTTTTATTGTATTAGACAGACAAATAACAAGAGGTGGCAGAACTTAGTATATGGACGGATAAATTACAAATTGCATTACTAAACATCTGGTATCATAGGAGTAATCACAACATGAAAAAAAGGTAACAAAACATTGTTTTACTGAGCCTCAAAGATACTGAAATATAATATTACTGTACTGCTGTTTAGAAAGTTATTTATTGCATACAGTATATGAGTAGGCTTACCTAGGTATAACAGGAGTACAAAACAATGTCACTTTCATGTTACCTCCCTAGTACTCAATTCTCCCACACTGGGTGACTTTGGCACTGAGGAATTCTGCCCTGCTTAGAGAGTGGTTTTGTATAGCTCTGAAACCAGATTTGTGAACATCTGTGGTTGAATCCTTGCTGGGGAAGAGTTGAACTTGTCACATAGGCATCACTTGCCCTGATAATGCTATAGTTCACTCATTTAAATTAAAGATAATTAATGAATGTTTAATACAGTTTTTATGCTCTGTTCTGTGTGTTCTGTATGTATGCAATTGTGTTCTATTACAATGTGGCTTTATGTAAAACATAAAAAAACCTCTTGGCTGCTGCATACTTAGTGCACATTTAATTGGCAACAGCCATTCACAGTCATGTATGCAATTACTTTTGAGTTACTTTACCAAGTTTTTCTGATTAAAGTAACAATTATATGATCATTTTGTTTTAACATAGTAAAGTGATCAGAAATTGAGATACACACACTTGACAAAATATATTGAGTATATTTTATTTTTATTATTTAAAAAAAAAAGATGACTCAGAAAAGCACCTATGTACCATACAAACTACTATAGACGTACAGATACAGTACTCTAATTGTGGAAAATTGTAACTACAGACACAAAGCAAAATTAAGACAAACTGGTTATAATTGGGTACACATCTTTTTAAATGAACAGTTTTCTTCAGTTTTTTCATTCATCGTTGTCATCTCTCGATGCTTCATTCCAGCTTAACACAGGTGTGCGATCGGCAGGAAGACATGTTTGGATTTTCTGCCACCGGTTAGGAGGCCATATAATGTGGGAAGCTCTGGCATGAACAAGTCCAAGAGACACCTGAAAAGCAATGTACAATTGGTGAGAAAGTGGAAGATTCAAGATTTACACATCACTCTCTAAGTAAAAAAAGTGACTATCATTCTGAAGTGATACCAATAATGCATCACATGCAATAATTTACTATCACTGCCAACATGACTTAAGTGAATATTCAGAAGCAAAATATGAATGCAATTTCAATTAACATTAGTTACTGATGCAAGAATATGCTTTAAAATTAGTTTTCAAAACTGTTGATTGCAGTTTGCACACAAAGCATTTTAAGAATGTGACAAATAGCCTTTTTCAGTTGAGCCATGGTTCACTACCTCTATAAAGGTATAAAACAAGAGCAATTAAAATATACTGCATTTTAATGTTGATTGTATCTCCACATACGGTAATTTGAAATTAAGTTTATATTATTATAGCTGACAAACAAAGGATATACAAACAGCACTCTGAATTATTTCCTTTAAATGAAAATTGAGGCACAGTCACACGCATGGACAGTGTGTTCCAGTACAGTGCTTTGTAAAAGTATTCAAACACTTGCTTGATTTTCCCATTTTGTTGCTTTAAACAAAAGAGGAAATAAATAATATAAATGAAAAATTGAAAAGGCACAATCATTATAAGTATCCATACCCTTTGCTGTGGCAAACAGAAATTAATTTAGGCTTTTCTGATACAAATTTAAACTTAAACGCTGAACTGTACCGTGACTTCTTGCATTTCTACAGGACACCCTAGGAAGGGTCTGAAAACATTTGCAAGGCACTGTATGTGTCCCCAATATAACCCAACCAGTGTGCTGAAAACTGCAGCTTTGCACAACCTACTGTCCAAAGATCAGAGTACAATGTGCAATAGTTTTACACCAGTTACAGCACAGTTACACCACATAAAACCTTAAGCAGACCACATCTACAGGGACTTGCGTAATGGATTGCCTCCTGGCCATTGCAAGTGCTGTAACTTAGAGGATTAAACTGTAGAATGCTACAATACTTGCGATATACTGTAAGGTATGATATCCAGTAATAGAGGTAAAAGTGTTTTGATAGAAAAGATGCCTTAAAATGTGTTTTATGCTTATAGTAAAAATTATCACATGCATCAAATTGCAATGATAAACAAAAAGAAAGTTAAGTTAACAGAATTTGAGGGAATATACAGCACAGAAATTCACAAACAGATCTTGATGTATAACAATTTTCAGTGGTTGCATAAATGGCAACATTGTTCTATACAGCATTCATCAGCATAATTTTAGTTCCTACCTAACAATGGACTGATTACAGATAACAACATAGCAACAAATTGGCATACTGTTGTTTTCATAAACATCAAATTACTTATGTCAAAATATTTTAAAGATAACATATAATGGTTTAGGGCTGCACAGTGGTACAGTGGTTAGCTTTGTTGCCTTGTACTGCTGGGGACCTACATTTAGATCCAGACTTTGGGTGCTATCTGGGTGTAGTGTGTATGTTCTGCTTGTGTTTGAAAGGGTTTCCTCCTGGTGTGAGTGTGTTTATGTCTGTATCTGCCCTGCGATGGACAGGAGTCCAGTCCATGGTATATCCAGCCTTGTGCTTGCAGCTCACCAAGGATAGGCTCCTGCTTGCACAAGGCAGGGCACAACCATTGCAGGACATGGGCTAAAATATTTCAGGTGTAAATGTTTCACATTCATGCTGGTAACTGGTGAACCATTCAGTGAATTCCTATGTATTTTATAGGGACAGCAGTCTGTTTTAAGATGCCATTTGTTTTGCTTTTTTCCCCTTGAAGACTGTAACACATAAAACAAAATTGATTTCCAATGTAGAAAAAAATGCAGAATGCAACACAGAAAACAAATCGATGTATTTATATCCATTATTTCTTCATCTTGAATTTGGAAGACCAGAAGAATTTCATAAAGGTATTTGTTTTATAATATTATGCATTAAGTATTGGTGCTTTTCTCTCTTTTTTTAGATAAAAAAATCTAACAAAAACATTTCCATGTTTTAATATATTATGATTAAGAGCAAGCTATAGTAGAATGAGCAATATTAAACAGAAAATTAAGCCGGGAAAATAAATTTATTTCCATGCATTTACAGTCGGTTTTGCATGCTAGACAATGTCCCTCTAAACCAGAAGAACTACATAGCTGTCATTATTATACTACCACTTCCTTATACACTATACAATACTTACAATTTTTACTATTATACTATAGTTACTATTTTTAATATAATTTTAAGAATAATTTTTCCTTGGTGTGTGATAAACTCTTTTAATTTTATTCTTCTGTTTTTTGTATATACTGTATGTTATCATCCCTTCTTATTTTTATGAGAGCCAGTATGACAGAAAGCTGTGTTCACAATCATTTTTACTATTTTGGCATTCTCTTAGCAATGGGACCAAGGAATACTTTTAGAATTTATTAAATGCAGATATTTGGTTCATATCAAACATTTGTAAATCCATATGAAACACACACCACTTCCACCATTCCCATTTTCACTGTTATGAGCTGTTGAAGCTACAAAACTGCCTCAGCACTCCAGGTTGCTGGGTTCAATTCTGTCTTTGGTTATTTTTGTTGAATTGTGGATATACATGTGAAGTTTTAATGACTGCTTGGTTTTCTTCCAACCTCCTAAAGACATGCTAGCTGGTGTTGATAGGCTAGTTTAAATGTTTCTTTTTTTCTGAGGCACTATGATGGCATGGTGTATCACCCTGCCAAAGAGCAGCCATGTGTTCAATCTTACACCCTACGCTATTCAAACTATTTCTTTGTCATGACCCCCACTTGGATTGATAATGGAGAGATGGGTAACAGTAAACATTCTGTCAAAATATTACTGAAAATGATATAGAATAATAGTATAGAATAAATCTAAGGACAGTATTCTTATGATTTTTTATACTGATCTAACATTGTATTTCTTGATGTTATCTAATGAGTTGAATCTGAATCATGAGTAAAAAAGAAATGTTTTCCTTCATAGGTCTTTAAAAACTGTAAATAAAAATGTAGTTGTTTAGACAGTTAACAGACTAGAATATTCCATTCTAAATTACAGTATACAATTCTGCAAAGATGAGTGGGCCAAAATTCCTCCACAGTATATGTTTGTGTGTAGTGATTAGAACAAGTGGCTCCTCCAGGACTAGTTTCTGGATCCATTTTAAATTGTGGCTTTGTTAGATAAGGGGGATTTCACAATTTTTGTGTTACGAGACTAGATCAATTAATTCACCTAATGGGACAAACAAGACAGTGGAGCAGTTATGTTATTTTGAGAGTTACTTATTTTACATTACAGACCACCTTCAATTATATAGAGATCAATACCTTTATACCCCTCCCCCTTGTCAGTCTTTTGACATTTTCTAGAACATTTACACTTAAAATATCTGCCAGCTTCAAATATGTCACTAACGAGAATAGGAAGAAAAGAAGCTTCCCCTTTTGTAAATAGTAGGTATTTGCAGTTGAGTCAATACGGTTTAAAAATTAGCATTAGATAAATCTTCAAAGACTTGGTTTTATTAAAAGAGTGGATACTTTCCCTATTCTGCTATGGGAAAATCGAAGAAGGTTACTATCGCATAACCTCCAGTAAGGATGATAGTTCTGCATATGGTTTGAGATTCATAAGACTAAAAAAATTCATCTTAAGCTCTAAGATGTATGAAAGTAAAAAATAAGATTTAGGAGACCTCCTGAGTTTTATTTAAATAAAAGCCTATGTACAAAATTCTGCTGTTCTGCTAAGTGCAAACTTTGACTTCTAGTCAAATTTATTCAGTTTTTGCATTATGAACTTGTTTCCTTTTTAGAACAAACACCTTTTGAGACTAAGGTGGGCATGAATAGTATTAGCTATTTGTCTAAACATAGCAATATAACAGACTAAACTGTCCTACAACATCTCATTCCACCTTCTTGAGTATATTACTCAGATCTCACATGGGCAGTTGTTCTCTTGCTCTTAGGGCTTAACAGCATGATGTACAGGTAGCTATCTTTTACCAGTTGCACAACATTATAATTTCTTAAGCTGATTTGCAGATAATACATTCATGTTGCATACACTTTCCTTTAGGAAAAATGTCATTATGTCCACATTTAATATTTGCTATACATATCCTAAAGTCAAAATAAATGTAGACTGATGATGTCCATCCTTCTCGCATTGACATTTCAGAAGAACAATGAGTTATTTATGGTCTGAGCAATAGTCAACTAGAGAGTGACATTCTGATTGTCTCCAGATGACATCTACCTATTCGTGCCCTTCAGCTGAGAGGATGTCAGATGTGTTTTTTGAATAATGTGTGTTTTAAATAGTGCACATCAGCTTCCTCTCTTGAGTCTCAAGAATTAAGAGCTAAAGCTGCACATAAGGAGGAGGAAAGAAAGGGCCCTCTGGATTCTGTTGTAATGTCCTTGAGGTTTTCAGAGCTCCTTCTATTCCTCTGGAGACAGTTAAATATAGTGCTGCCATTGCTGCATTAACCCTGGCCAACAACAGGATTGAACTAATCCACCTGTGCCGAATGGGTCTATGACAGAAGTAATGTGGTATAAGAAATACATTAGTGCAAAATATATCTTTTTAATATAAATTTCATGCTTACATTAAAAATGTAGAAGTAATTATATATGATCTTTAAAGAAGAATGTAGAGGTTAATTACACACAAAGCAAAACACTTCAGATGCTGAGCCTTTTTCAGTTGTGTGTGGGAGAAAGCACAACACAGAAGAAATATGAGAAATAGTGTTGAGGTAGGGAACATGAAAGAATATGTGAAAATGAGTAGGAGTAGGTGAAAAGGGGACTAAAGAGATAGTTAATGTATTTTCCTCTACTTTCATTTCATGGCATATAAGTCTCTCTCTTAACTAATCAGGACTGAAAACATTTGTGTTATTACAACCTCACCAATAATTAGTTTCCCCCCTTAGAGCTCCTCCTATTCCAAACATACAAAAATCTCTCT